GAAACGTTGGAAACCTCCTAATCTCTGGCGGCGGAGGGGGTCAACTGACCTCCCCCAGAAAACTGCACTCTTTCTACCTACTGCTTTCGAGGCTGCGGGGTAAGCCCCATGGTCTGACCCACCAGCTCCTGTGGCTGGTGGGCCCCTCGGTGTGGGCCGGAGTCCACAGGGAACATTTCAGCTGCATTCCTATTCCTGCAGAGGCCATGTGTCCTGCCCCCTTTCAGCCCTCCCCCGTCCTTCCCCGTGAGCACCTCCAAGCTCTGGATGGGGCCTACCTCGAAGATACCTGCCCACACCCCCTGGTCTTTTCTCTGCCCACCCAAGGAAGGGGCTTCACAATTTATCAAGACCCAAGTACAGGCATAGGCTACCTGCTAACCTTGCCCCTTCTCCTAGCCCTGGCTCCCAAAAGTGGTGGATAGAGGGGAGGTGGCCCTGAGGGCAGGGTTCTCCTGAGGCTGGGGGAGGGAGCAGTGGGGGGTCTGCAATGAAGGCATGTGGGGGTTGGGGTGGGGGTGACAGGATGGGAGGAGACCTGCGTTGCTGGCTCCCCAGAACAGACCAGCTCTGATAGGCTCCTGTGGCATTGGCCCAAAAGTCAGAGCCGGGGGCCGCCGCCTCGCCATGCGCACAGGCTGCTGGGGGATACAGGAAGAGAAACCCCAGCTCACAAGGCCTAGGCCGAAGCAGAGGGGCCTTGGTGTCATCCTGCACTGGGTGGCCTCAGGGAGGGCTTCCTTCCAGAAAGGCATGGCGTGGGGCTCAAAGTGGGCGGATGCGACAGGCATTCCATGCAGAAGGAACAGCACCTGCAAGGTGAGGTCGGAGGCTGTCAGGGCCGGCCTTCTCTCGAAAACAGTGGCTGTGAGGACAGTCAGGTTTTTATTGGCAGATGACATGGTACCACTGGAGGGTTGATGGAGAGCAGGAGGCAGTCTGTGCCCCGCCCCCCATCTGTTCCACACCTCACTTTGAGGTATTATTTGGAAATGAGTTTCTGCAGCCTTTTTCAAGGATCCCCTGGGGCAGCAACTGGGGTTCAAGGAAGGGACAGGCTGCTCAATGGGCACCAGAGCCCACACTTTGGAATAAAGGGGGCTGGCCAGGGCATGACTGGGTTGAGGGGGGGGCAGGATATGGCTTGAATGGGATGCAGCAGTAGCCTTTCTCGGCGTAAGGGGCATTGCCGGTCCCAGGGGACTTGGGAGCAGTGGGCAGGGCCAACAAGGGGGTTCCTGACTCACAGATGCCCCACCTTTTCCATGGATTCCAAAGAGCCACTGCCTTGATGCCCCAGCTGGCCTCAGCCTGACACTCCCCGGTTTCTTGGGGGTGGGGTGGGGGCAGCAGGCTGTGCTCAGCCCTCCTGGTTGTGGGCTTCGGTCTTCCCAAACAGAGCGGGAGCCCAGACTGTCTTGTCTGCCCCTTCAGCCCTGGAAGACCCCCATTGCTCATGTGAGACCACAAGGTGAGCCCTAACTGGGAGTACTAGGGATAATGTGTGGCTGAGTCCTGGGAGGTGGCCAGGCCAGCTGGGGTTGATGTCCTCATCTGTGAAATGAGGGAGTTGGGCTCGATACTCGTGGAGACCCATGCCCCTGCGCTCTCCTGACCAGGGATGGTGCAGGACCTGAGAGGCAGACACAAATGGCAGGTCTGCACGCGGCCAGCAGAGGAAAAAGGTTTTGTGTTGGGAGCGGGGGTCACATGGGAGCTGAGGGCTTGTGACAAAGGCCAGGGCTGGGGTGGGAGCAGCAGGTGCTCAGATCCATGAAGGAGGCCCCAGCTCACAAGCCAGGCAGTAGACCTTCTGGCTTTAGCTGGAGCCATGCCACCGTCCCCCCCACGCCCAACTCACCAGCCCTTTCACTGAGGGAGCTGGAGCAAGACCCTCAGAGATCTTTGTGGAAGAGGAGCATCCCCTCTCCACCCCCAAAGATGGGCAAACACCTTTCCAGATTCCCTTGAACCGACTTTCCTTCCTCTTTTGAAACGTGACCCCAACCATCACTACTACTGTTCTCTGGAAATAAATCCTTGCTACCTAGGCCTGAGTTGACATGGGGCTGAAGGGGAGACTACCCGCACCCCCACCCCCCAGACCTAGACTGAGAAGCAGAGTAGTCCTTAGGCATCTTGACTAGCAAACTGGTAAGTGAGGATGGGCTAGCTCAGAGGACAAACTGCCAAAAATTCCGTGATGGGAGAGGAGGGAGGGAGGGAGGGAGTGGATCCCTGTGTGAAGTGCCGGCTGCCTGGGCTCCGTAGCCCTGGGGCCTGGGTTGTTCTGAGGTTGCCATAATCAGAGGACAAGTGTGACTCATCTTCTGCTTCAAGCCTGGGATGGGCAGTGTTGTTCATGGTGATGCCACAGAGGGGACTCATGCAGGGATGGTGGGTGCTGCAGGGGCTAGACCACTGATAGCCATCTCAAGGAAGGAGCCCGTGGCCACCGCCGGCCCCAGGCCTCTCTACACACACAAGGCGGCCCTTGTCACTGCCTGTGGCTCAAAAGGCAGGCCTGTTCCTCACTCCCAATGTCAGAAAGGCAGTAACAGCCTCCAAAGGCTTGCCCCGGCAGCAACCCTTTCCTCAAAGCCCCTCAGCTTTCGAAAGCAAATTCACTTAAATTCAGTGTTTTTAAAAACCCATCTTCCATCTAAGATAAGCTGGCCTACTAGAGGCTGAGCAAGAAAGAGTAAGGGGTTCCAAAGGCGCAGAGCCAGCAGGAGTCCAGAAGTGAGGCCCCCACCTCTCCCGAGACCCCAGGAATGGGGTTCATGTGGCCAGAGGAGCCCCCTCCCTGTGCAAGCAGGTGAAATGAACTGGACTTCTCCCACAGGCCAGGCAGTGCAGGAAGGGTTGAGCTGGTCCTCCCTGGCTGACCTGGGCCAGCTTCAGGCACATGAATTCCCAGGGCCAGTGGCTGGGGCTCACTTGGAAGGAGTTGCTGCAAGGGCGCATGGAGCCTCTCACACTGCAGGCCACCGAGGCATTCTAGCGCAAAGGCACCTGGCTCTGGGAAGCGGCAAGGCAGCTGAGGCTCCTACAGCCCAAGTGTGGGCGCAGAATTGCCCACTGCCCTATCCGTCACCCCCACAGGGGAGCCCGTGCCCTTGGCTGGAGGGCCCTTGGACCAGTTAGACTCTAGGCACATTGTGCCTTGATACTGATTTTGTTGTTGACAGTGCCCCCATGGCCAGGACGTTCCATTGCAGGGTTGACTAACACCTGAAGGCTTTCCAGAGCCACTGTTTGGTAAACATGAATGGCACCAAAACTACAGGTCGCGTGTTGTCTCCAGGAACTGCTGTGGTGGCGACCTGGGTGCCTGAGGAGACCAGAGCCCAGATTCCGGGGCAGACAGGGCAGTATAACCAAGGACTCTGTCTCCTGTGCACTTCCCCACCCCCACTGGAAAACTGTCCCAAAGTTCCAGAACAACGGGACTTTCTAGGTCAAGAAACTAGGGCATCAGCCTAGCAGGGTTTGACCCTGTGGCACAGGGGGGAAGGCTTTCTCTCCCAGGGTACCCTTTGCCCATCTGGAAGATGGGAGGAAGGTGGGCTGGGAGAAAGGTCCAGACCAGGCGGACTCTCCAACCCCTCAGGCCAATCAGATTTTGATCCCCACCTCTACCTCCCACTCTTTGCCAGCCAGCCGGAGCCCACGTGGTTGCCCTGCCCCTGTGGGCGGGAATGGATTAAACTCTGGGTTCCCGCCAAGGGCGGAATCAGGAACCTGCGCTGGGAGGCCAAAGCCGCAAGCTGAATGGAAGGCTCCGATCTGAGTCTGATTCCTGGGTCTGTGGCCCCGGGCAGGATGCCAATCAAGGCTGGGGCCTCTGATGGGGCAAAACTAGGAGAAAGGACCGTAACAGTAGATTCCAAGGGGGCAACCCTCCCGGCCTCGGTTCCCAGGTCACTGTCCCAGCCCTGCACCCACCCCTCCGAAAGCCAAGGAAGCCCGAGGCAGATGCAGCCTCCAAACCGTTTATTTATCCCGACTTGGAGGTGGAGGTCGCTGGGGGGGGGGGCGCGAAGCGGGCACAATATTGCGGGTGGCAGGGCCTGGTGCAGGCGGGTCGGGCAGGCGTGGCCCTCACGCGAAGGTGGAGCCGTTCCAGCCCACGTTGGCCGCGTTCATGTCGTAGTAGTTGATGTAGATCCTGCGGGGCGTGGACGCCAGGCTCAGGGGGGTTGCGGGCCCCCCCCCCCGCCCCTCGGGGACCCCCGCCGCCCCACTCACCTATCCGGGCTGACGCGCAGGCGCTCGGCCAGGAGGCCGCACAGCAGCTTGCTGTAGGAGCGGTTCTGCGCGCCTCCGATCTTGCCGATGCTGTGCAGACTGCAGAGCGCGCACGGCTCATTTGAGCCGCCGAAGGCCATGAGCTGGTCTGGGACCACGTGCACCGCGATGTACTGTGGGGAGACGGGGTGCGGTCAGGCGGCCCCGGACAACCCCCCACCCCGTCCCTTCCCCGTCCAGAGCCTCAACCCGGAGTCGCCTCCCCCGCCCCCCAGCCCGGGACCACCTCGTCCGGCCGGCACCCCCTCTCCCTGTTCGCTCCCGGCAAACCTGGGCCGGCTTGCCGGTGGCCTGCGCCAGCTGCTGAGTGAGCTCGGAGAGGAGCCCGTCCGGCACGGAGGCGCGGGGGACGTTGGTGTTCACCACGAACATCGGCATGCTGGCGGAGAAACGGCGGGGACTGGTGCACAGGAACTAACCGACGCGCGTCCGGCAGCAGCCCGAGAACCTGAGCTACGTGACCGCCGCGCGGTGCCGCCCCCTAGGGCGGCCGCGGCCCCGCCTCCTGTGACGCCACCGCCGGCGGAGGCCCCGCCTCCGTGCGACTGCGGGTCTCTCCCAACTGGTGACGTCACCGCAGGCAGAGGCTCCGCCCCCGTGCGGCCGCAGCCATCCGACTGGTGACGTCATCGCCGACGGAAGAGTCCGCCCCCCCCCCCGCCCCTTGGCGGGACTTCGGGCGTTGGCGTCCCGGCCCCATGCACCCTCTGAAAGCCGTTCTCCCTGTGGCGGCCAGAAATCTGCTTATCTTTCGTTTCTTTGTTAGTCCTTTCATTTAGTCACTGATGTTTACTCGGCCGTGTGTGTGTGTGCGTGTGTGTGTGTGTGTGTGTGTGAGTGAGAGAGAGAGAGAGATGGGGAGAGGTAGTCCTTGCTGCAGGCAGAAGGGGGGCATCCAAGGTAGAGTCAGAGTCAGAGTCACTATCCAGGTGCCTTCCCTGCACCTTGCTCTTTAAGGTGAGTGAGGACGCTGGGAGACGCCGAGGCTTAGACAGGGCTCCATAGGCCAGAGGTGGTCAGCAACTCTGTCTCAAAGCCCACCCCCAAGCCCCTGCTCCCCTGAGCAACATCTCTGCAGTTCTGCGAGCTTTAGCTCCTCAGGGAAGCGTCACCCTAGTTAAGTCCTGTAGGGATGCCCTTCCTGAGAGTCCTTAGAGAATTCTTTCTGTCTCTTCCACTAATGGTAAGCTCAGGGGGCATCTAGTGGGTGCCAAGCATACAAGAGACACAGACTAAATATTGGCTGAATGAACGAATGGGTGAATGAAGATAGCCATGACCCGGCAGGAAGAGGAGAGAGCAGTGGCTGGATTGGGGCCCTGGCCATGCCTGCAGGCCTTGCCATCACTGGGCAGAAGGGCCTGTGGCTAAGCGGCCACCCACTCCCCCTCTGAGGAGCCCCGTTGGTCAGGGTGCTGTGCTGGGGAGCAGATCTCTCTCGGGTTCTGGAGGGGGCACAGAGCTCTCCTTGGCATCTGGCAGGTGCTATCTGGTTAAGGGGGCACAGCACACACTGGCCTTGACTGTGGCCATGTGATACAGCAAGGACACTCGTGCCTGTGGGACCAGCCAGCATCCAATCAAGTAGGTCCCATGGCCCGGTTGTGCAAATAACCTGCAAGTGTTGCTTCCTCCGGCTGGGCCCCAGGCTACCTCCCTCCTCACTCTCACACCTTGCGCCCAGGGCTCGCTTACCATTGATGGACTGATGCACTCCATGCCTTGTCTACAGCCCGGGGCCCTCCTCCAAGTTCAGTAGCCAGTTCGGCACTTCCTGTCCCCTGTGTGCAAATCCAAGTGTGTGACTTTTCTTCCCACACCTGTTGGCCTGCCAGTGAAATGTGCTTCCCCCCACTGTCACCCTTAACCTCCCTTCTCTGCCCCCCCCACCCCGATCCCAGCCCCTCCCACCACCACCACCTTAGTTTAAGCTAGCTGGCTTCATCTTTGGCCTAGCGTGGACTCTGATAACACCATGGTGGACTGCTCTTCCTGGGGGAGGAGTCTATTTCTCTGCCCCCCTGGCAGCGGATCTGGCCATATGACTTGCCTGGCCCAATGGAATGTGAACAGAAGGGACAAGAGTGACTCCAGGCAGAAGATTCAAGAGCCAGCACCTGGTTCTCTGAGATGGTGGAATGTGCCGAGATGGATCCAAACGAGCAAACACAGGCGATGCCCCAGTAGGTGAGCCACTTCAAATTTCGGGTTGTTTCTGTAGCCTAGGGCAGTCTTCCCTGATCCAGACAGCCTCCGAGCTATTTACCATTTACTCTGACCCTCCCCAGTAGCAGTCAGTGCCATCTTTCTAGAAGGGCATCTGGGGAGGTGATCTCATTCCCCGTCCCACCCCTTACTAGCGTGGACGCCTCACTAACCTGTCTGAGACTCAGTTTCCCCACCTGTAATTTAAGGATGATAGTGCCTGCCTTACAGAGGAGTGTTGTGAGGACCACGTGGCCTAAATACTGATGAGAGTCCCCACTGATACGGGAGGTGGTATTGCCACAATGCCCTGGGTAAGCAGTTCCCCGCCCCACGTCTAGCAGCACCCTCCCTTGTTCCCTGAGTCTTGTGCACTGTCCTTCAGTACCATGCTCCTGGCTCTTGGCTCTCGCATTGGTCCTGAAATGCAGTTTGCATTCACTTTCCCTCACCTGCCTCAGTTCCTTGGGAAAGCCCCAGAGCTTCAGGCTGTAATGTGGTCCTGTAACGTGCCCAGCACCTCTCCTGTCCTTCGAGGCCATCACCACATTTCTCTTTGTGAGTTAGTGTTTCCTTGCTGGATGGTTAAGCTCCATAAGAGAGGGGACTGTCTCTTTTCGGCCATTGCTGCATGCCCACCTCTTGGCTCGTTGCCTCAGTGGTAGGCAGAAGGCCTCCAAAGATGTCCACGCTCTAATCCCTGGAACCTGTGAATATGTTACGTTACGTGGCAAAAGGCACTACACAGATGTAATTAGAGTTATAGACCTTAAGATAGGGGGATCATCATGGATTATCTGGGTGGGCCCAATGTAATCACATGAGCCCTTAAAAGCAGAGAATTTTCTCCAGCTAGACTCGGTGAGATGTGGCAGAAGGGGAAGTGGACTCCAAGCAGGAGAAGGACTCAATGTACCATTACTGGTTCTGAAGATAAGGGGGCCAGGAGCCTCAGCGGTACGACCACAAGGAACTGAATTCTGCTAACGACCTGAATGAACTTGGAAGAGGGTTCTTCCGTAGTTGACTTAGAGACATCTTGACTTCAGCCATACAAGACCCTAAGCAGAAGACCCGGTCACTTGATGATGGACTTCTGACTCAAAAAAACTGTGAGATAATAAATCTGTGTTGTTTTAAGCTGCTAAGTTTGTGGTCGTTTGTTCTAGGAGCAATAGAAAGGTAATACACTTGGCCCCGATAGGGGCTCGATAATTATGTGCTGAACAGCAGGACGTGTGCACAGGGCGGTGTTGGCAGGCTGAGCTGCCTGGAATCCTCTCTGAATTCATCCTCACTGACAGTGACTGTCTGGTTAGAACATTCGCTTCCCCTGGCAACCAGGCATAGCCACATGAAGCTCATGCAATGTGTGGGGTTTGTGGAGAAGCAGCTGCTTTGCTGATGGAGGCAGGGTTGCGCCTCTTTCCCTCTGCCCCCACGCCAGAACTTGGACATGACCCCCAGGTGCGCAGCAAATGTCAGGCAACACTGAGCTGGAAAAACCCCGGGGCGAGGGAGCAGGAAGGGGCAGCCCAGCGGAGCCTGGGCCTCTGACAGCTCTGCCCAGCCCCTTCGGCTGCCTTTCAGTCACAATAGAAAAAGGAGCCCCTCTCTGCTCAAAGCACTGCGGGTCAGGGTTTGTGTCATTCACAGCCCCACTGCAGGTCCTGGCTGCTGCCGAGGGCTTCCTGAGTGGCCACGTTCAGTGGCACGGCAGGCATTCTTACTGCAAGCGTCCTTGTTGCAAGCATTTCCGTGGCAAACATCTTAGCCACATGACTGGCCATAAGGCAGTGTTGCCATAAAAGATAAAATCAAGAAACGTAAAAGAGGGACATTCAGCAAAAAGGACCTCATGAAACATGGAAAACAATTACCAAGACCTTGCTGAGAAATGTAAAATATTTGGATACATTTAAAACGGGTGGAGGGGGGGCGCCTGGGCGGCTCCGTCGGTTAAGCATCTGCCTTTGGCTCAGGTCATGATCTCAGGGTCCTGGGATCCAGTCCCACATCGGGCTGCCTGCTCGGCGGGAAGCCTGCTTCTCCCTCCCCACTCCCCCTGCTTGTGTTCCCTCTCTCGCTGCGTCTCTGTCAAACAAATAAATAAAATCTTTAAAATAAAAAAATAAATAAAACGGGTGGAGATTCTGTGGAAATAACTGGTTTCGTTTTGTGGATTGTACCTATGCACTTGTTTTCAAAATCTAGTATTACGCATTTTTTTGGTCTTATTTTAATTCATCTCGTATCACATTTTTTTCTTTTTTTTGCTAAACTTTCTTCCTTCATTAAGAGAGGCACCTGGGTGGCTCAGTTGGTTAAGCGACTGCCTTCAGCTCAGGTCATGATCCTGGAGTTCCGGGATGGAGTCCCAAGTCGGCTCCGCGCTCTGCGGGGAGTCTGCTTCTCCCTTTGGCCTTCCCCGCTCTCGTGCTCTGTCTCTCTCATTCTCTCTCTCAAATAAATTAAAAATAAATAAATAAATAAATACGCATCCTAGTGTTTGGAAACAGGTATCTCTCTCTTTAGAGTCAATGGAGCGATTCAACACTTCCATACGACACCCATTGCTCATCACAAGTGCACTTCTTAATCCCCATCACCTATTTCACCCATCCCCCACCTACCTCCCCTTCTGGTAACCATCAGTTTGTTCTCTATGGTTAAGAGTCTGTTTCTTGTTTTCTCTCTTTTTTCCCCCATTTGTTCATTTGTTTCTTACATTCCACATATGAATGAAATCATATGGTATTTGTCTGACTGACTTACTTCCCTTAGCGTAATACCCTCTAGTTCTATCCACATCCTTGCAAATGGCAAGATTTCATTCTTTTTGATGGCGAGTAATATTCCATTGTATATATATACCACATCTTTATCCATTTGTCAGTTGAAGGACACTTGGGCTGCTTTCACAATTTGGCTATTGTAGATAACGTTGTTATAAACATAGGGGTGCATGTATCCCTTTGAATTAATGTTTTTGTATTTTTTGGGTAAATACCCAGTAGTGTGATTACTGGATCGTAAGGTAGTTCTATTTTTATTTATTTATTTTTAGTCTTAGTTTAGTTTTAGTTGGTTTTGTTTGGTTTTGTTTTACATTGTAAAAGCTTCTACACTGTTATTTGGTTTTGGCGGATTGTCACACGTCCATTGACAGCCGTTCCATAGTTCTATGGGAAATGTTGGTTCAGTACTCTGCCCCACCGTATAGACCATCATGAGGGCTAAGATTTATGTAATATACAAACGGGAGGACTGTGTCAATGGAGCATTGAAACCAAACTGTCCACCAGTTGGTGAAACCAAAGAACTCAACCAGTTATTATTTTTTTTTTAATCTTTTACGGCAAAACTGTCTCACAGCCAATTATGTGGCAAAATGCTTGCAGCAAAGAAGCTTGCAGGAAAGCTACCTAGAACTGTCCAGTGGGTAAGAGCTGCTGGGCACAGAGGTGGGACGGAAGAAAACCTCCCAAAGAAGGGAAAGGCCAGCTGGATAAGGGGGAATATGGCCCACGTGAGCACCCAGCAAACCCTGAAAGCAGGGAACATCTCAGGGACAGGATCTGAGTTATGGAGCTGGAAGGAGGGTCTGGGGAGGAGAGAGGGCTGCTGGTACCCCACTGGGGGGCCACCTGCTCTTCCTCTTGCTGCCTCCCCCCTCCCCCCATGTGGCAGCCCCTGTCCATGGGCAGTCCACTCTTCCATTGGCTCCCACCAGCTTCGGTTCCCTCAGCATCCCTCCCTCGGTCACGCAAGGCTCATCACCTCTACAGCAAGAGCTGAGCCGGCCCTGAGCCCTCAACCGTCCCCGTGCCCTTGTTCATTGAATGTGGTAACTTGGCAGCACAGACAAGCAAAGACAATTGTCGCCCCTTCTAGTCATAGTGGAAAAAGACCTGGGGTGTCATCACGCCCACTGGTGATGGTGTACCTAAAGGTACAGGATTGCAAAGAGGGCTGTCTGCCAGGAGACCACCACATTGCAAAGGAGGGGCCTAGGCGTGGTGGGGGAGCCCACAGTCACGGCCACCTAACCCCCACAGGACCCTGAAACATGGTTCAGAGCAGGTGATCTGGGTGCAGTCACTTAAACGCTCTGAGCCTCAGTTCCAGAACGGGGCGGGGGCGGGGGGTTCGGGTGGTAATTCCTTTCCCATAGACTTGTGTGAAGGCTAACGGAGCTGAAAGGACAAGTGCAAAGTCCCTGACTTGCAGTAGGTGCTCAGTAAATGCTACCTGGACTTACTGTATTGTAACCGAGTGTCCTGGAGCAGGAAATGAGCTAATAGGTCTGAACCCCAGTGGCGGGCCTGCACAGAGAGGGTGACTGTGCTTTCCTTCCATGGTGTCGCAAGTCCTGTCCCCACCTGCTCCTACCTTCAGGGGATCCCCTCAAAGCCGAGGCCAGGCTTTTCAGGAGCCCCCAGGGCACAAGCCTGCCCACATTGCCACACTGGAGGTGACTGTGGTACAGCCCGGCTCAGACCCACATCCTCGAGAGCTCACAGCAGCCAACAAAGGTGGTGTCCTGGGCTTCTCGGAAATCCTCACCTCCCAGAAGGGACATAAGTCTGCGCCTTAGTGGGGTGGGCACCTCAGAGAGTGTGGGGCCACTGGTCATTGGAGTGTCGTGGGAAGAGACCACTGGAGGGTCTGGCACCCTATGATTGCAGGATAAATTCTCTATCTGGCCTTCAGGGCCCCTCACCTTATCTCAGAGCTCTTCTCCCCCATGGATGCTGGGCATCCCCTCCTGCACCTCTGCTCGATCCCGGGCTTTCCTATCTCCATCCAGCAGCAGCCATGGCCCCCAGGAAGCCTTCTTGACACCTCCAGCTGGAAACCCACCCCTCTCTAGGCCTCATCACCCTGGGCCTCTGTGGATGCATTTTCATGGTCTGCCTCCAAAGAAAACTGTGTGTGTGTGTGGGGGGGGTGAGTGTGTGTGTGTGTGTGTGTGTCTGCAAATTTGGCACCTGCCCCCTCGGTTGTGGGACCTGGGCTCCCCTTCAGTATCCTCGTCCTTCTTTGGGTATCCCTTACCTTCCTTTCCTGCTGCCTACAGAATGGAGCCACGGAACCCGTGGCACATGACTCTGACCTCCTGCAGGCTCTGTGGTGAAGGGCCATGCTGTGGGCTGCTTCCCCACCTGCCTCTGCAGAGCCTGAGCTGTGGCCGCGTGGCCTCCTTGGCCTCCACGCCCTGCCACTGGTCCTGGCCCCACCCTTAGCGCTGGCTGAAGCCTGAGCTCCACTACTAATCCACAGTGTCACCCTGGCCCCCCCAGGTGGCTTTTGGCCCTCCTCCACAGAATGGGATCAGGGAGCCAAACAGCCAAGGCAGCGGAAGCAGGGTGGTGCCCCCCCCACCCCATCAAGACCACCCAGGTGCAGTCCTGGCCCGCCACCTAGTGGTGTGACCTTGGACCTTAGACAAGCCACGGCCTTCGTGTGCCTCCCTTCTCCTGTGTAAAACAAGGAAATTAAAGGTACTTATTTCTGGGGCGCCTGGGCAGCTCAGTCAGTTAAGCGTCTGCCTTCAGCTCAGGTCCCACGGTCCTGGGATCGATCCCCCGCATTGGGCTCCCTGCTCAGCTCTGCTCCTCCCCCTGCTTGTGCTCTCTCTCTCAAATAAATAAATTTTTCTTTAAAGATTTTATTTATTTATTTATGAGAGACAGAGAGAGAGAGGCAAAGGAAGAAGCAGGCTCCCCAAGGAGCAGGGAGCCCGATGTGGGGCTTGATCCCAGGACCCCAGGATCATGACCTGAGCCGAAGGCAGATGCTTAACCATCTGAGCCACACAGGCGCCCATGTGAGACTGACTTTCTTCTAGGGGAGGGTCACCGCTCCTCCCAACGCTGGTGCCGCCCGAGGACAGGGACAGTGGTGGACACCTTGGGATGTAGCGGGTCCTAAGAGAAGATGGATATACTGAAGGAATCAATGAAATCAATAAACGATTCAGCAGAGGTATGGAGAGGACCACCTGTGTCCTATCAAGAGGGAACCGATTGTCAGGGTCGGGAGAGGAGTGGGTGAGGGCGAACACAGAATCAGATGCAGCCCTTTGGAAGCCGTGCGGTCCTGACCCTTGCGAGCAGTGCATGGGGCCCAGTAGCCAG